ACAGAAAAGAGACAGAATCACCAAGCAGGTAAAAGGGGATGGTGCGGGGCACTCTTGGACTGCCCCAGCCTTGAGTAAACCACCCTCATAGGTGCCCTGTAGGAAGGGTGGGGAAGGCTGAAGCTCCCTCTGCTCCTATTCATACAGGAGTACTGCTGGCTTTTCCTCTTCCTGAAGGAGCCAGGGGAAAGTGCACAGTTTGCTGCATTCCTCACTCTGGCTGGGGAGTGCAGGGGGAGGACAAATGGACCTGGCTTAGCCAAGAGACATGCACCCTTCCCCAGCTTAGTGCCCCAGCAGCCATGGACTGGTGTTTCTCACCTGGCCTCGCTCCCCAGGGCAGCCTGTACACTGAACCCCCTCCCCAGCTCCTTTCCACCCAATGATTTCAATGAAGCCTGGACATTTTCATTTTATATTCCAAAAAACAAAAATTAATTGAGTTAAGGACCCAAACAAACACCTGGAAAATTTTCAGGGCTGCATCTAGACTGGCAAGGTTTTCTGCAAAAGTGGCTGCTTTTGCGGGGGAACTTGCCAGCTGTCTACACTGGCTGCTTGAATTTGCGCAAGAGCACTGTCAATCTAATGTAAGACTGTCAGTGTTCTTGTGCAAATACTATGATGCTTCCACTCAGAGAGAAGCCCTCTTGCACAAACACTTTTGCGCAAGAGGGCCAGTATAGACAGGTAAAAACTGTTTTGCGCAAAAAAGCCCCGATGGCAAAAATGGCGATCGGGGCTTTCTTGCGCAAAGCCACGTCTAGATTGGCATGGACGCTTTTCCTCAAAAAGTGCTTTTGCACAAAAGCGTCCGTGCCAATCTAGATGCTCTTTTCCGCAAATGCTTTTAACGGAAAAACTTTTCTGTTAAAACTATTTCCGGAAAATCATGCCAGTCTAGACGCAGCCCAGGTGCTTATATATAGTCAGTGAACACAGTTATCTGTGACCCAAATTAACTGTGGCTTCATCATCGTAGTGCAGGGCAGGAGGCAAAAGCATAACGGTTACTGACCAGGTACTCAGCATGGTGCAAGTGGGGTGCGAAGCGGGTTTGCAGCCAGTCATGTCACTGGCTGGCTACTCGTTCAGAAAATGTGTAGCATAGACAGGGCCTAAAGCTTCCCTGTTCAGAGATGTTAGGATATGTCTACAGTACCACCCTAGTTCGAACTAGCGGGGTAATGTAGGCAACCAGAGTTGCAAATGAAGCCCGGGACTGCTGGCCAAAACCCTTCGAATTTGTTTAGATCCAGCACAGCACAGCAATGCCTATTAGTAGATGGTAGATTAGCTGGCTGTGGAGATAGGGCTGCTGTTATCACTGGGCTATCTCTGCTGTTTCTACTGCAGTAGCTGCCTCTGCCTCTGAAATAAGACAGGGGAAACGCAGTGACTAGCATTCTAGAGACATGTGAGGGGTGTAAAGAAGTCATTAGTCAAAGCAGCCAGAGCTCATGGTCCAGTAATAGTCTTACTCTACAGCAAGGAAAATTCCAGTTAAATATTAAAGAGCTGCTGCAGAGCAAGAGAGTGGACCCATTTGCAGAGGGAGGTTTGAGGAATCACCATTCCTAGAGATCTGACAACTACATATGGGCTTGGAAAAGAACAATGAAAATGATGGGCCCATGCCTCCTGCTGGTCTTTGTGGCCGTGCACAGTGAGTGTCATGTTCATTAACATGTGTGGTTCAGTGGGAGCTAGAGAGGCCAGGGCTCCAGAGCTGTCTGTACACAGCGTGTCAGGCAGATCCTAGGTTATATTCCACATGGACAAGACCAACAGCGGGTAGGAGAAAGCAAGTAGCATTATCCCCACGGTAGAGGTGAGGAGCTGAGGAACAGTGAGGAGATGAGCTAATACACTGCAGATGAATTCACAGAGTGACTCCCTTGCATGCAGTACTAGAAACCATGGGCTCTCTTGCTAGAAATCCAGCTGGTCACATGGGCCAGTGCAGAACTATTGTCGATTCACACGGGTCTGCCTTGAGTAGATGTTTGTAGTGGGGCCCCTCCACTCCTGCTAAACGAGTCCAGGCTATTTGGGCATGGACAGCATCTTCCAGCTCTCTCATTTACTGCGTTATGTTAGCTCCTGGATGACGCCTATGATCGGGACTGAGCCATTGGCCCAGGGCTCATACTCGTCCCAGTGCTGTGCGTGGGAGCACAGTTCATTGAACAACAGAGACCGAGCGGTTTGAAGGTGGCCCAGTCCTGGTTTAACACATTAGAAGCAGTTTGTGGTTTTTCAAAACAAACATTTGCAAAACGGAATCTGCACTAGCAGGGGCTGCGCTCTCCAGACAGCAACATTCGGTTTAGTGGAGTCCGATTTTCACTGTGTCCAGCCCTCAGCCTCTAAAAATCCAACCCGCTGAGCACTTAGCATCCTCTGTGGGGCATGAAGCCACGTGCCCAGGGAGTGGGGATGCTGCTGTTAATGCGCAGGGTTTTGTTCGCAGGCTAGGAGCAGTGCTCCTGGGGCTTTGAGGCTGTAGTTTTCAAAGCGGGTCTCAAGGTGCAGCTACACTACAAAGGAAAACCCATGTTCTGCATCGCAATTGACTCAGGATCCTCAGCTCAGGCTGCAGGGCTAATAGTGGAGGTGCAGACCTTTGGGCTCCGGGACCCTATTTTTAGCTCCGTCCCACAAGATCTAGTCAATTGACCCAGGCTCTGAAACTTGGCACTGTGGGCCTTTCTTTGCAGAAGACATACACTGTAGAGGAGTCTGGCATTCAAATCCCATTGAAAGACTAACTCAAATCCCCTCCAAATCCATATATTGGGGAACTTCCCATAGCAACATATGCCTGCTGCAGGAACACAAGCCCCGGTTCTCTACTGCATCCCACCTTGAGGAGTCCTTTACACTTGTGCAAAGTGAGTGAGAAACAACAGAAATCAGACTGAGAGTGGTGTGCATCCACTCCACACAGTGCATGTGACTAGATAAGCTAAAAGACTTGCAATAGGCTGGTGTCTGTCTTGCAAGGACATAGCGGGTTCTGCTTCTGGAGGTGTGTTAACAGCCATGCGGGAGCCAGGCTGTATTCAGCCTTCACTGTCAGTCCCCTAAACTGCAACTCCCGTATAGGGGCTAGAACTAGGGGCGCTGGGGATGCGGTTGCACCCCTTGGCTTGAAGTGATTTCCATCAAGTACAGGATTTATAGTTTGGGACAATGGCTTTTAGCAAATTGTTCCAGCCCCCCGACACTCCGTGACCACAGAAATAACCACAAAGCACTTTCAGAAGCCAGGACACAGCTCAGTTCTTTGGCTCAACCTTCCCTCAGTGATTTCTGCCCCCAAAGATGCACAGTCACAAGTCCACAAGGGCAGGCACACACTCACATGTGCACCACACACGAACATGCCCGTTTCATGCCTGCACATACAGACATAGGATGTGCCTGCTCACAATGTGCACAAATGGAAACAAGCAGACAGACAGAAAACAAATCAAGTTGGTTTTGCTCCAGCTGGGGAAGTGAGAGAGACAGAGAGCGAAAGAGAGAGACAGAGAGAGAGAGAGAGAGAGTCATTTCTAAATGTTAAATGGGAAGCACTCAGATGGTAAAGGGGGCCACATCAGTAGATGGGCAACCAGAGCAACCGAGTGGCTCTGAAAGGCTGTGGAAGTCTTTAACCTTGTGGCAGCCTGCTTTGGTCTTGGCCAGAGTATGGGCTGGGCTTCAGTAGACCAAGGTGCTGTTCCTGGCTCTGCCCCATGTGCCTCAGTTTCCCCATCTCTGAAATAGGGATAACGATCCTGATCCTTCTTGATAAACACTAGATAGGAGCTAGATTTTATTATTTATGTTGCACTAATCAGTTTAAGGGAACGGCAAGAATGGTCCTGCCAACAGGAAATGGCTTTCGAAATGTGACTTATGATTCAGTGGGTTCAAGGCCTGTGTCACTCATAGCAGCTTTACTCTGCTGACCACAGTGGCCTTCTTCCCAATTTACATGGGGGTAGTGGGAAGAGACTCACGCTGAGAGAGTTAAATGCCCAGGCTTCCAGTCCGGTCCCCCAGTCTGACCTGCGGTGCTGAATGTGACACAGCTGGTGCGGTGCCGGATGACTGGCCCACCGGTGAAAATAACAGGAGCAGCAATAGTTTTCCTCTTTAGGAACCCATCACCCCAGACTGGCATTCAACAGCACTCCAAGGGGAACCTCTCAACATCAGGGCGGCATTGTGCCACACAGCTCTCTACCGTGCATTAGTGCCATCCCGAATAAACACTTTAAACCAGTGGCTCTCGACCTTTGCAGCCTCCTATCAGCAGTTGGATTTGTCTTGCATGCCCCCAAGTCTCATCTTACTTCAAAAGTACTTGCTCCCCAAGTCAGACATAAAAATACTAACGTATCCCACACACTGTCACTGAAACATGGCTGACAAGGTCTATAATATACTTCCAGTTCCGTGTTAACCAGGCAGTGTATGAAACCGTAGTTGGTACTGACTGCTTGTGTTTTTATGCAGCCTATTGTAAAGCTATGCAAATATCTAGATGCGTTGGTGTTCCCCTGGTGTACCCTTGGCTGAGAACCAGTATTTTAAAACACTTTTTGAAATGTCCCCCTCTTGGCTGAGTCTTTGTTTTTGGATGGGTTTAAACGAAACAGTCCCTTACAGGAGCTAATTATTTTCTCCTCTCTCTCTCGCTCTCTCTCTCTCTCTCTCTTGTGAGACAATAACTCCCACGCAGGAAAAAGGAAGCATATTTTGACAGATACTGCAGCCACTTCCTTTAAAAGCCTGTAGCCCATTGGCTTTACGCAGGCAGAGGGGACAGATAGCTGCCTCTGATCCGTGCAGTTGATTTTAGGTTTTACTTAACTCCATTTGAAGGGACCCATGTTCCATGCTACAGCTGGTTTTCCCCTAATGAGACAACCTTGAGAATCTCTGCCTGAGGGCTCCTTTGAATCCCATGTCCCTCTGCCAGTATGTGTCTGTCTTCCTTTCTCCAGCTCGTTCCAGGAGCATGATGACTGGGGATCCCATGGCGGCTTGTAACTGGATGGCTTCCCACAACCAGCTGGAGCGGCCCTTGAAGATCGGCTGGCTGAAGAAGCAGCGCTCCATTGTCAAGAACTGGCAGCAACGGTACTTCGTTCTTAAGGGCCAGCAGCTGTTTTACTACAAAGATGAGGAGGATGCCAAACCCCAGGTACAGTCAGCGCAGACCTCCTTGTTGCCTTGTAGCCATCCTCTACTTGTGGTTTGACCTGAAAGAAACTGGCTAAGGATGAGGTCCTGCAGGGATGACAGAGGGGAGATGTTTTTTGGCAGGAAGGATGTAGCCTTGGACAGCCTGGCCCCTGCCCTACTGATATTATTATTGTCTTTCCATAGCACTGTGGAGTCCTAGTCCTGGACCAAGACCCCATTGTACTAGGCTCTGTACGAATGCTGACCAAAGAGTGGGCCTCTGCCCCATGCTGTTTACAAGCTACGTCTCAGAGATTGGATACATATCAGTGGTGGTACAGACACACCAGTGATGGTGTACAAGGAAACAGTGAGACGGTACTGGCTGGTAGGACAGGCAGTGGTCTCAGCACACCAGGGCCCTAACTACTGTCAGGTTTTTTGTGGACACTGTGGCAAAAGAGAGTTTTAAGGCAGGTTTGGAAAGAGCATACTGACTTCATTTGCAGATGTCTCAGGGGAGCGTGTGCCAAGAAGGAAAGGGGCAGGATGCAAGAAAGCACAAAGCTGCCTGTTGGAAAATGTAACAAGTAGGGGATGGAGGCTGGCATGCTGGGCTGATCCGAGGTGGGGTTGATATTTTGATAGTGAATGAGAGGTGATAGGAAGGGTGGGGATGGGCCGTGAGGGACCTGGAAAGGCGGCTTGTTGTGATAAAGAAGAGAGAGGCGGTGATGGCTGGTATTGTCCAAACAACAGGCCAGGAGAATGAACTTAGCAGCTGCATCCTGCATGGACAGGAGAGAGGCCAGACTGTATTTCTCAAGGCCAGAGAGAAGGAAAGAGCAGAGCTTGAACGAGAGGCTCAGTGATACGAATGGGCAGGAAAGGCGTGATGCAGGCAGAATTGGAAAGATTTAGACACAGCCTGGATGGAAGGCTCTAGACGGGGGTTGGAGTCCAAGCTGATGCCCCCATTCTGGCCCTGAGTAATGGGTAGGCTGGTGGTGTTGCTCGCAGGGACTGAGGAAGATTATGAAGACAGGTTTGGCCATGCTGCAGCTGAGTTGACAGCTGTGAGGAGAAAGCCACTTTAGCATCTGGCTCCAGCTCCTGCCTTCGGGTGGCTCAGCTCTGGGATTTAAGTTTAGGCCGAGCCTTGATGGCGAATTCTGTTCTTTCTGGCTATGAATGTGGGAGCGGGGGTGGGGGCAGGACCTTATTGGCTGTGCAGTGAGGCAGAATGATTTATACAGCAGTGTTTCCAAAAACACACCCTGGGCTTTGTAGGAAACGTATGGCCCAATGTCCAGTGCTACTAGAACCCTGGCACCGGGGGCTGTCACCAAAGCCATAGGAGACCTGACCATTCAAGATGGCTGTGGGGAATAAGGTGAAGAAGAAAGGGGCAAGAAAGAAAGCTTCCAAAAAATTCAGGGTGAAATTCAGTCTGATTATTGCACTGCAGGGGTGACCCTTTAGGAAGGAAATCCCTTGTGATAACGCCTAGCAATCTGGTGCATTTCAAGGCCAGGATATTTGCTGCTCAGAAATATATTAGCTCCCAAAGGGTTTATTGTCATAGCCAGAAAATAGGGGGGAAAGCTCAGAATTTGCATGTTTATGCCCTGCGGATGTTTATCCCCTGTCACTAGCATCCCTGCCCCCCACCACATCCTTTGAGTGCACAGGAGGTGTTAACAACAGCTAATATTTCAAACAGCCTTTGAAAAGCCATGGCTGCACTGGGACAGCTCACAATTCATTTGCATGGCCACATGCGGGGGTGGGGAGATTTCCTGCTGGTCCATTGAGGCTCAGCTCCCTTGGCTTCAAAGGTTTCATCTGCTACTGCTGCTGGCTAAAGGGGAACAGCTCCAGTGACTCGCTGGCATTTCACCCACTGGCTGCAGGATCTTTCCGTTAAAGGAGCTGCCTGATGCCTGGTCATGGAACCTGCTTAAATCCCCTGTGAGTGACACAGGAATGGAACGTCACAGACCCCAGGGAAGTAAAACAGCTACATGACTCTGCCCCTTTGTATTGCTCCACATCTCCTCTGGGGAGGGCAGATGGAGCCGACTGCTGCCTGAAGACAGCTGGGCTACTGATCTCCATCACCTAGAGCTGTGGTGCCCTCCCTTATTGCTACCAACCCCTAAGCCCAAGCTTGTATGAGCCAAAGGGATTCTACATGTTGTAAATGCAATTTAAAATCGCCTGCATTGCTTTCCATTTTAAGTGCAGCTTGTTTTGTGTGTATTTAGATAGAAACGGCCTATGTACAGCAGTGTCTGTTTTCCCACTTGTGTAAGCTAAAGTGATGCAACTGTGATGACACAGTGCTAATGTGTTGGCTGTTGGTATAGTGTGTTGAAGCAGGCAGCAGGCCTTATGAAATGTTCTGGTGGGCTGTGTCCAGCCTCCGGGTCATAGGGTGAGGAATATCCCCACCCGGCATGGTGCCCTGTCTTCTATCCCGATGGATACACAAGCTGGATACATCCATCAGCTTCTAACATCGACCTGTAACTCAGGTGCTGTCTCCAAACCATAAGCCAAATCCCTGGTTCAGTAAATTACACATAATAATGGCTGATCCCTGGTACAAGCAGAACTGTTAAAAAATATCAATTACTTTGTGGAAGAAATTTTAAAAAACATTTTTTTTCAATTTTCTCAAAATGTCCTGCAATTTTTCTTGTTGCTTTATCAACAGACATATTTTAGGTTTCTGAAAACCCATTTTCACTCAACTAAAAGTTCATCATTTTTAACCAAGACTGATTTTTTCCTGTTGTTTCCCCCCAAGCAAAACAAAAAAATGTTGCCTTTTTTGGTGAGAAATGTAAATGAAAATTAAAACGTCCACAATTTTTGTGACCCCCCCGTTTTTTGGTTGAAACTCCTTTATGATGACAAAATTCCTGTCAGCACCAGAGAGGAGTCTTCAACTGCTTCCAGGCTGAGCACTGAAACGGGCAGAGCTACCCAGGGGACATAGAGATATTACTCCCAGTCATTTCATAAGAACAGAAGAGCAGCCAGACTGGGTCAGACCAAAGGTCCATCTAGCCCAGGGTCCTGTCTGCCCACAGTGGCCAATGCCAGGTGCCCTAGAGGGAGTGAACAGAACAGGGAATCATCAGGCAGTCCCTCTCCCATCACCCATTCCCAGCCTCTGACAGAGGCTACCCGTCCGGGCTAATAGCCATTGGTGGACCTAACCTCCATGAACTTATCTAACTCTTTCTTGAACCCTTGAACTATGCGTCCGTATTTCTGTGGAGAACCTCAGCCTGCCGCAGGAGAGGTTCATTATTAACATAGCACCTCCTGGGTTTATTCCTTTCCCACTGCCAAGCTGCTGGATGCACTCTCCATTAGGTCTGTAAATCACCATTACAATAGCTATCCGGTTAAATGATTCAAATTATACCATTTAACGGGTTAATCAATGGTGGGCCAGTACACGGCAGGCAGGGCCAGTTCTCACCTGCCCCCCTTGGCTGAGTTAGAGTGGCTGCCAGCTGCTGCCCCAGTATGTCTGGGGTCCTGCCTGGCTGATAACTCCACATGGCTGGTCCAGCCAGTTACCAGGTAAACATTCCAGTAAGCCTAAGGCTTAGTGGGTAACCGGGTAATCGGCTAACCTTTTACACCCCTAATCTCCATGTGGCCTGAAAACGTGGGCTCCATAATTAGCTCCCTTTGCAGACATGGGACCATCTCCTAAACCCGCCCCTCCCTGCCCCCACAGCCCAGTGAGGCACGGCTTCTGCTGACTCATGCAGTTATTGAAACATCCGGGTCTCATGTCTGCCAGCCTGGATCCACATCCTTTTTTAGGCTGGACATGTGATCTGATGAAGTGGGCGCAAGAGTCATGAGGCTGATGAGCTAGGTGATACCGAGTGACACAGCTCCTGCAGTCTCCTGCCCAATCAGTTTGAAACTGCAGCTTCCCTAAAACTGGCAGTGAGAGAATCCAGGCTAAAGGAGCCGTTTCTCAGACTGTCTCACCTAGTGCTCAGCCAAAGAGACGTGGCTCTAAATATCCAGCAAGCTGGAGGTACTGCCGAGAAGGGTCTGCCAGTCACGGTGGCTCACAAATTGAACGAGAGTCAACGACGTGGTTCTGTTGCCAAAACGGGCTCTGGTCAGTCTGGGATGTGTTAACACGAGTCTCGTATGTAAGACACGGATGGTAATTGGCACACTCTCCTAGGGCAGGCACTGGTGAGGCCTCCGCTGTGTCTAGTCCTGGGCATGATGCTTTAAGGAAGATTTGGACAAATTAAACGGAGGCAGCAAACATGCTGAAAGCTTAGAAAACCTGACCTGCGAGGAAAAATTAAAAAACTGGGCCTATGTTTAGTCTTGGGAAATAGAACAAGGAGGGTCTTGTTAACAGTCTCCAGACATGTTTTCAGTTGTTATAAAGAAATGGTGATCAAATGTTCTCCATGTCCACTGGAAGAAGTAATGGGCTTGATTGGTAGCAAGAGAGTCACCCAGGGTATGTCTACACTACCCTCCTAATTCGAAATAGGAGGGTAATGTAGTCATACCGCAATTGCAAATGAAGCCCGGGATTTGAATTTCCCGAGCTTCATTTGCATAAAGCTGGCCGGCGCCATTTTTAAATGCCGGCAGTTCAAACCCCGTGCCGCGCGGCTACACGCGGCACGGAGTAGCTAGTTCGGATTAGGCTTCCTAATCCGAACTAGCTGTACTACTCATTCCACGAGGAGTACAGCTAGTTAGGATTAGGAAGCCTAATCCGAACTAGCTACTCCGTGTCACGTGTAGCCACGCGGCACGGGGTTCGAACTGCCGGCATTTAAAAATGGCGCCAGCCGGCTTCCTGCAAATGCAGCCTCCGTGCCGCGTGTAGCCGCGCGGCACGGGGTTCGAACTGCCGGCATTTTAAAATGGCGCCGGCCGGCTTTATGCAAATGAAGCCCAGGAAATTCAAATCCCAGGCTTCATTTGCAATTGCAGTATGACTACATTACCCTCCTATTTCGAATTAGGAGGGTAGTGTAGACATACCCCCAGGTACTAGGGCAGTGGTCGCCAACCTTTTTAAGCACTCTTTGAATTTAAATGCAATCCAGGATCTACCTCAGATCCAAACACCCTTGCCCTGCCTCCTTCCTGCCCCTTCTCCAAGGCCCCACCCTGCTCACTCCATCCCCCCCTCCGCCATCCTCATTCACTTTTATCAGCTGGGGGCAGAGGGTTGGGGTGCAGGGGAGGGGGTGCAGATGCTGATCTTGGGCTAAAGGATTTGGAGTGTGGGAGGGGTTCTGAGCTGAGCCTGGGGAAGAGAGTTGAGGTGCAGGAGGGGGTTCAGGGTGCAGGCTCTGGGAAGGAGTTTCCATACACAGGGACTCAGTGCCAGCAGGGGTTTGGGATGCGGGAGGGGGTTGGGGTTCAGAATGCAGGGTCCAGCTGGGCACTGCTTACCACAGGTGGCTTCTGGGTGGTGGTGCAGGGTGCTAAGGCAGGCTCACCCCTACTCTGGCCCTGCACCACTCCCAAAAGCAGCCAGCAAACTCTCTCCCTCCCTGCCCCCCGTGCTCTGTGGAGATGGGGTACAGGGTGTGAGGAGGGGCATCCTGACATCAGCCCCCCATCTTCCTGTGCCCTGCACAGCAACAAGGAGACTCCCAAGGGTGGGGGGCAGCTCCAAGGCCAAGGGCAGGAGCATCACGGCAGTGCTGCAAGGGGCAGATGAGGTGTTGGACCTCCTGGCCAACCCAGGCAGGGTCACCTGTCAAAAGTTCCAAGACCTGCCAGTACACTGGTTGGTGACCATTGGACTAGGGAGAACTTTTTATCTCTAAGGGGAGTTAAACTCTGGGACAGGCTCCCAAAGGAGTGTGTGAACCCCTGGCCATGGAGTGAGGTTTTAAGAACAGGTTGGACAAACGCCTGTCAGGGACAGCCCAGGTTCACTGGGCTCTGCCTGAGCACCAGGGGCTGGATTTAATGATGGCTGGAGCTCCCTTCCAGCCCAACGGGCCCATGAGCGTTACATCCGTCACTGCCAAGGGCTCTTTATTTTGAAATGGCTGACTCCAGGCTGTTGCTGGCTTTGTTTCCAGGGCTGCCTGTTTCTGCAGGGAAGCACTATCAAGGAGGCAGCTGGCAACCCAGAGGAAGCAGGGAAGTTTATCTTTGAAATCATCCCAGGTGAGCACCGTGACAGCACAGAGATCTCCTGTGTGCTTCTTGTTTCGCATGCTTATAGCTCGATCTGCTGCCCTGGCAGGGGGGCGGCTCACGGAGAGTCTGCTGAACATTCTGGAGGAACGGTTTTCAGTGAGAAAATGCAGTTTTATCAACATCTGCATATTTTGTGGGAATGATCCATTTTGGGTGAAAATGTTGATGGAAAAAGTGTCAAAATGAAGAGTTTTGACTTTCCCATCTCAGTTCAGTGTATCTAAAATAGAATGTCCCATTTCATTGGATTTCCTGTTAACTCCTGGGCTCTTAATACACAGCTGTTCTGTGTACAGGCCTGGGGGCAGGGAAGGGGGCAACTGCCCCAGGCCCCGGCGATTCAGAGGGGCTCAGGGCTCCTGGCTGCAGAATCTGGAGCTCTGGGTTCTTTACGTCTCCTCAGGACGGTGCTTGAGATGTTCTATGTGGCGCTGAGGGCTGGGGCGGGGACTCAGCACCGAGCTCTGGGTGGCATTGAGGACTGGCTGCACCAGGAGCACGGAGCGGGACCCCACACACCCTGTCCAAGGGCCCGCGAGGCTGCCGGCCCCCGGCCGTGTGTATCACACTGAAGCCCAAAGAGTTTCTTGAGTCGGTGCGAAATGATGAAAACTGCTGCAAGCACGGGCAAGTGCCCTTTGGTTCAGACCCTCACCAGCTTCAGCCATCACTGGGATCTGCAATTTGCTGCCTCCCAGTGATTACTGTCTTAGCCATTTGATGTTACAAATTACCCTCAGGCAGTAGCATGGGCGTTCAGCTGCTATCGTTGTAATGTTATTTTCAATCTTCTATTTTATTGACATGTTATATGTAATAGTCTATATTATATTATGTTTCAACATTACTGAAATGACATGTTGCCAAATTTAAATTTTTCAGAATTTTCATTTTGCAAGAAATTTCACAGTTTTCATTTCAACTCTGATTTAGAACAAAAACCAAATTTGAAATATCAGGATTTCCAGTGGGACAGAAATTCCATTTTCCAGCCAGCACTGCTCCCCGGGAGATGAACTCCAGGTTCTTGACTGGGGCTTAATTTGGGTCTAATTAAAAATGACTAGTTTCAATCGGCCATGTGTTCTTCACTTGTAGTTCTAAACTGATAAAGAGCTGCCTTGCAAAAGCTGGCTGCTTTTCACTGGTGCTAAAGGGAGTCTGGACCGTATGCATAGGGCCTGATTGTTGTCGTATGAACACCAGGGTAAGCCAGGAAAATCTGGAGCAACACTGGTGTTGGGAAGAGAGTCAGGCCCAAGCTTTGTAAGTCACATTGGGAGAAGATACCAGGTAAATGCACGGAGGGAAGACAGGGTTAATCTTCTGTTAATACACTTCCTTGGTGGAATGCTGTAGTGATGGAGAGTTGATACAAACAGCACATCTCCCTAAGCTCATTTTACATCCCATAGAGCAGTGTTTCCCAACTGGTGCTCCGGGGAACCCTGGAGTTCCCAAAGCAAAACTAGGGGTTCTGCGAGGAGCCGGCACTCCCCCGCCCTCTCTGAAAGAGAGAGAGAACCAGCCAGCCAGCAGAGGCATGGGCGGCGAGTTGTATGGGTTCATGGTGCCCATGCTTCACCAATATTTGGAGCTGGAGCAGGCCCCAGCCCTCCCGCACGTCCTCCCACCCCGGCCCCAGAGCATCTCTTCCCCAGCCCCATCCCTGGCCCGTCCCTGCCGTGTACAACCTTCACTGAGCTCCCCCTTGCTGGCTGCTGCTGCCCTGCGCGGCATGCTCAAACTGGTGGGCAGGGAGATGCCTGGGCATGACGTAACGTCACGGCCCGGGATTTTAAAAGTGCTGGGTGCTGTGTTGCGCCGCACGGCTGAGTTGCGGGTTCGGAGTCCGGGGACATAGCGCAGACTTCAGCCCCACAAAGTGGAAGGCAAAAGGTAGGGGAAGGGGAAGGGCTGGGAGAGGAAGGGGCTTGTGCGGAAGGGGAAGGGGGAGGAGGAAGAGAGGGGAAGGCACCAAAGGGACAGGGTAGAGGAGAGACTCTACCGGGGGCCAGGTGCAGACAATGAGGAAAAAGGCAGGAGGTGAGGTGTCAGTTGGAGGGGAACAGGGTGATGCTGGGACGGGAGAGGGCAAGGGCATTGGGGACTACAGGAGGGAGAGGGAGATGCTGGGAGAAGGCTTGAAAGAAGGGGGGGGCATGAGGAAGGCCGGGATGGAGCAAGTCATGTGTGAGGGGCATGAGGGTGGTGAGGGGGTGGGCATCAGGGAAAAAGAGGGCAAAGGAGGAAGAGGCAGTGAGGGAAGGGGGAGGCACCAGGAGGGTGCAGGAGTAAGAGAAGGTACAAGTGCCAGGGGATTCTGGGGTGAAGCAGAAGGGCAGACACCTGCAGGGGAGGGACCAGCACCAGAGGAGAGACGCAGGGCAGGTTTGTACAAGGAGGTGTTAGAAGAGGAGATGAGGAGGGATAGCTCACATGATCAGAGTGGGGCTACTGGAGGAGTGGGCACAGGGAGGAGAGAAGGGCTGGAGGAGTGGGGCAGGTCACAGGAGGTCTGAGGGCAGGAGTCCGGACAGCAGAGGAGGGTGAGGAGTTGGGGGGCAGCAGGCACCAGGGGAGGTGATGGAATAAGGGAAGAAGACATGGCAGCAGAGAGAAAAGGTAAAGGTTTAAAAATATTTATTAATAACTTGGGTGCCTCAGTGGTACATCCAAACAAGCCACATGAACTCAGTACTTGCGAGCTGTGCTTTTGCACAAGAGCATCTATAGCAGTGTGGACGCTCTCTTGCCCAAGAAAGCTCTGATGACCATTTTAACCATAGGGCTTTCTTGCACAAGAAATTCATGTTGCCTGTCTACACTGGCCTCTTGTGCAAGAACAGTTGCGCAAAAGGGCTTATTCCTGAGCGGGAGCATCATAGTTCTTGCTCAAGAAGCCCTGATTTCATACATGAGAACGTCAGTTTACTTGCGCAAGAACACGTGGCCAGTGTAGACAGGAAGCAAGTTTTTGCACAAGAGCGGCTGCTTTGGTGCAAGATCGCACCAGTGTAGACACAGCCAAGGGGAGAGTGGGAGGGAGGCAGGTGCAGGGAATCAGCACTGGCTCAGCATGTCTGCATGGTTTGGGGGAAGGTGCAGGGAAATTGAGCTCAGCTGGGTTGTAGAGTGGGCAGGTCCGGGGAGCTGGGCTGGACTGGGCTGCGGGGTGTGTGTGTGTGTGTGTGTGGAGCTCAGTTTGGCTGCAGGAGGAGGGAGGTGCCGGGAACGGGGGCTAGACTCAAGGGGAAGGAGGGGCAGGGAATCGGCGCTTGGCTCAGCAGTTTTGCGGGGCTTGGGAAAGGTGCAGGGAAACAGGCTCAGCTGGGCTGTGAGGGGCTGCAGGGAACTGGTGCTGCACTCCCTTGGATTGTGGGGGATGGGTTTGGGGGGGGGACAG